ATGTGTGGGTTCTATGGGTGCTTCAGTAGGACTAGGGAAGAACTGGCTGAGGTTATGTCACTAAATTGACTTTGAAGGACAAATAGGAGTTAGTTAAGGGAGGGAGGCGAGACCTGGACCCAGGAGGAATACACAGGTCAGATAATGAGACAGTCTTGTGGTTGGCCTGCGTGAGTGCGATGAGCATAAAAGAGAGACCTGCACGGAACTTTCTTTCCCTGGGCAGTCACCATCAATGTTATATAAAACATTGTTACATAAAAAATTCAAAGTCTGCAAATTATCTGACAAATCTCATACTACTCTCTCAGGTAAGTACCGAAAATGTCAGTTTCATAATAAAACAAAAGCTGATTTCATTTGTTTGATCTCTATTAAAGTCAGTAGAAATGATTTACTGATTTTTTAAAGAAAAATATATTTTTAAATGCCACTTTTTTTGCAAGCTACTTGTTCATAGATGTGGAGTTCTCATATACCTCAAACGTGCTTATAGTTACAAAATGTTAACAGTTTTGAGGAAAATCAATGGAATAATCAGAAAACTCATGAAAAGATGAATAAAGAGCAAAAACAATTCCATATCTTGCAGTCAGTGTTATTTTTTTTTTTAATGTTCAAAGTTTGCAACTTGTTACTCGTTGCTTGGATCCTTAACTTGTTTTGGGTTTTTTTAATGCCATTAAAATGGAAACTAATACACATAAATAAAGAACACACTCTGAGCACAGCTGGGGTAATACAGAAACTCAAAGCCAGGCGTGAGCGCTGTGTGAAGGCTTGGGACGAACTCCTGAGGGTTCTCTGTACGCCTTGTGTGATGACATCATCCACTGTTCGTCAGTGGGCTCGTGCTCACACTCCACGTGGTAGTCCCTTGGGGGTTGAATGCTTAGATGTAGTTTGTTCCTCTCAATGAACTTTCTTTTGTCAGACAAGAAGATACGTGCAACTTGGCTTTCTCTTTTTGACTTGGTTATCAGGAAGCTCCCAACTTTAGCCCTTGGGCTAGGCTTTCTTTCAATTCCATCTGCTACATCTTGATTTCATTAGATTATTTGAAAGAAAAATCCTAGAGCATCTCTGACTTTCATTGAGACTGCTAAAAATCCTCTTTGGAAGTTTAAGGGTTAAAAAAATGATTATATCAAAGAACTATGGTTCAAAACATGAACACAAAAGTAATCGAACGTGAGCACTGGATTTCTAGAAGTTCCTACCATAGAAATAAAGTTATCAAGGTGACTACACGTGAGCCTTTTCCTAGATAATGGAGGGCCTGTATATATATTTCTCCAACCAATGACCTTGCTGGATTGAGCAGATAAGTAATTCAGATGAATTTGTGTGTAGTGGTTTTATAAATTATTATTATCATAAAATATTATTAAGTAATATTACATATTAATATATCACATTATGTATATTATTATTTACATAATAATCTACAATTAGTAAGTCATCACAAAGTGTTGTGACACCTGCCACCAATTTGGGTTGTTCCACAGCTTGAGTGACTGAGGATTCCTTTTCATGTGTCTGTGCTGGGTTTCACCTAATGGCTGAAACTCATTGCTGGTAACTGATTATTAAAAAGCTGAGGTCGTTGGGAGTCAGTGACTCAAGCAGAGGAAATATTTCGCTAAAGCAAGATAAGAGATGCTAAATACGCTGGCTTAGCCAAACAAAAACGTGTGGTCTAGCTCCTTGTAAGTTTTTGTGCGTTTTTTTTTTTTTTTGAGGAAGATCAGCCCTAAGTTAACATCTGTCACCAATCTTCCTCTTTTTGCTGAGGAAGATTGGCCCTGAGCTAACATCTGTGCCCGTCTTCCTCTATTTTATATGTGAGATGCCTACTACAGCATGATTTGGTAAGCGGTGGGCAGGTCTGCGCCCAGGATCCCAACTGGCGAACCCCCAGCCACCAAAGCCGAGGGTGTGAACTCAACCGCTGCACCATTAGGCCAGCCCAGTTTTTATATTTTTTAAAACAATAAACATAAAGTATTTCCAGTTGAGTGTCTTGGCCCATATGTGGTCAAGGGAACTTTAGATTAACCTAACAAAATGGTGCCAGGAAAAGAGCGGTGAAAGAGGCTCTGGGTCTGGAACCAGTTCTGCACTGTCTCGTTCTGTAGTTTCTGTGGGCCTTGGTTCTTGGGAAAAGGAGGGGCTGAACCTGGGGAATTTCAGTGAGTCTTGCAGGTGAAAGAGAACTCAGACTACTTTGTTGAAATTCAACTGGACTGAAGGCCTCATGGTATCCTCCAGGCATGTGGTGATGTGTGATCCGCTTAGTCTTCTTTTAAGCACAGAGAGCTTGAAATGTGATTGTTGTCTCTGCATGACCAACTGATCTTGGAATGTGACACTTAGTGGGTGCCTAGTCAAAGGTCCTTTGTTGATGATCGTGCCTCTGCTGACCCGCTGTCGGCTAGATGTGCACTTTGGATCGTTTCTCTTTTCCCTGGAGCGGTGAGGTTGGATCTAGGTGGGATCCCCCTAGTCTCCTACTCTACCCCCTTATGAGATAGACGCCAGGGTGGAAGTCTCCAGTGAGCAAAGCTCCTTCTGGATGACTGTAGCCTAGTGGTTAAGATGGCAGGCTCTGCAGTGGGAGTCGTTTTGTCCCCATTCCAGCCCTGCTATTCATTTACTGTGCGACCTTGGGCAAGCTATTTGACCTCTAAGCCTTAGCTTTTCCAAATGTAAAATGGGAGCTGGTTGACCCTTCCTCTTAGAGTTTGAAAGTGTAGTGCAGTTAGAACAAACATCTGCTACACAGTGAAAGCTCCATAATGGACAACTGTTCTCGTTGGATTACTGCATTGCAAGGGGAATGAACCTATGGCCTGGATCTTATCACAGCCCTATTGTGACCATCTGAGAGGAGAATTCAAGAGGAGGAGTGGAAAGGGCTCCTGAAACCTCTATGTGAGCAGGAAAGATGGTGTTAAACCCTTCCTGGGAGATGGATGTTTATGCTGCCTTTACAGCTCTGTAGGGAATAAAATTACCTCTCGCTTTCACTAGGCTAATTCAATGTCTGACAACTTCTCTCACTCAGGAAGTTATTCCTTCTGTGTGGCTTAATTACCTATTGTTGCAGGTTCGATTTGGGGTGAAGGAAAGGATAATGGGTCTGGCTCAGAGATAAAGGGTCTGCCGAAAAACTGCTGGGTTGGACTCGAACACCCACTCTCAGCAAACTGGAGCCGGGTTGGATTATGGCTCGGTTGAGGTGCTCTGGGTCTCTGTGTGCATGTCTGCACGGCCACCAGGAGGGATGATGGGTGGAGGGAGGCGGCAGTTGGGCAGGACCTAGAATCCTTGGCTCTGGACACCCACCCCCACCGTAAGCTGAGGAGCTTCATAATGACGCTTTCTCTGTACTTGGGCAGTAGGGATCTCACCAGGAGAAAGGGTTCCACCAATAAAAGAACAGTTTGAAAGCCAGGAGGCCAGCGTATGTCTCTGACCAGCCACCTGACATGACCTGTCACTTGGCAGCTGACTTTGGTCTCAGCTCCTCTGTGCTGCCTATTTGAAAGTGGCAACATCGTGTGTGTGCGTGTGTGTGTATGCATGCTCCTTTGCTCATGGTGATAGTGGGAGAAGGAGGATAAATGGGAAGATTTATGGGGAGAGGAACTTTATAAATCCAGGAGATAATTATTATGAGACTGGAAAAAAACCCCTTTAATGTGTTTGAGGGACTAATCTTGACCCAGCCTTGTGTGGGTGGGCCTCCTGGGAGTTAATAGGGGGTTTTCATCTCTAGCCTATGTGATGGGGTGGCAGTGATTGAAGTGCAAGGTTGAGAGCAGAACCATTTGGCACACCCCCATCTAATGGAATAGGTTTGGAGGGATATTGACCAAAATAAAGGGAGTGAAGACAGATGGTGCATGGGGAGATTTATGCCTGCTGAGTGCTGTGCAGCAACGGGCTTGCAAGGCCCTCCCTCCAAACCCTGTCCAGGGTGGACGTCAAGGTGAGATTTCAGTCTCTCTGGGCACTATATCCTTGCCTCTGACAGACAACTGAGTGGTGTCCTGGTTTTTTAGGTAATGGCCTCAGTGGATGGCCTGGAAGCACAAGAAGGTTCAGAAGGAAACCCCTCTGCCGGGCTGACCCCAGAATGTGGGTCTCAATTCCTCCCCTCGAGCTGCAGCAGGAATGCGAGCATCACTCAGGACTGTGGGATTGGGGCAGAGCGGTCTCCTAAATCAGTAGTGACCCAAAAAGTCATGTTCAGATGCTGAGATTCCTCTGCACACCTGGTTGTAAATACCTGATGGATGTAAACGTCTCTTTGGCTTGGTCGGTGGTTTTCCCCTGATGGGGCACTTACTCTGATTCAGACATTTAAGGTTGGGCTGAGGACAGCCTGGATTCCTGTGATGCACTCCATTGAGCACTTCCCAGAGGTGCCTAACTCGGTCCTTACCACCACCCTGTGAGGGTAAGTGGGGTCTTCTCCATTATACAGGTGAGGAATCTCAGGTTTAGAGTTTATAGGACTCGCTGATCATTGGTGGAGCCAGAGTTAGAATCTATACAGGATTGATTTTAAGATGCAAGGGAGGAAGAAACCAGATGACATCCCGCTGCTAAAAATTGGCCTGAAACCAGCTTTATGCGTGGTAGATTTGCCTTAGCAAACTCTCTCCCCTTTTTCTGCAGCTGAAATGATACACACACACACACACACACACAATTACAAAGACTTCTTTCTTCTTCAAATTGTTTGCTAAGCCAGAAGCAACCATGGATCACTTGAAGTAATGCCCAGGTCATCCCATTTTTCTCTCACCTTAAACACTGATCACAGCAGACTGTCCTTCTGCTGCTGAGTGATGCTTGCTCTAAGTGCTTACCGCACCTGCATGAAAGAATTAATGAGTGAGTGATGGATGGTGGATGTGGGAGGGGCAATGCCTCTTTGTGGGACGAGCTCACCCATCTTCCCACATCCACCTGCTGTCCTTTCTTAACAGGGTGGCATGATTGCTCTGCTGTTGTCCATCTTGTGCCTGGTGATGATCCTGTACACTCGCCGGCGCTGGTGCAAGCGCCGCCGGGTGCCCCAGCCCCAGAAGAGTGCCAGCGCCGAGGCAGCCAACGAGATTCACTACATTCCTTCTGTGCTAATCGGAGGGCACGGGCGGGAGAGTCTGCGCAACGCCCGCGTGCAGGGCCATAACTCCAGTGGCACCCTGAGCATCCGCGAGACGCCCATCCTGGATGGCTATGAATATGACATCACTGACCTGCGCCACCACCTGCAGCGGGAGTGCATGAACGGAGGGGAGGACTTCGCCAGCCAGGTCACTCGCACCCTCGACTCCCTGCAGGGCTGCAATGAGAAGACGGGGATGGACCTCACGCCAGGTGGGGAGGGGAGAAGGGCAAGGGGCAATTTGGTCCTTCCTCTCAGGGAGCTAGGGAGTGAGTAGAGAACAGCTGTTTTCTAATTTCGTGGCTGGTTTTCATACATAGCGGGATGTGCTGGTGCCTTTTCCCAAGTGAGCAAGAAGAGTAAGTGCTTTCCTGGGATGATGGGAGCTGTTTTCTAATATAAGAAATCAGAAGAATAAGTGTAAATTGGATCCCTCTCCACTTCCACTCTGCATTGGAAGCAGAGATCCTTTTACACCCAACAGAAGAGTGGGTTAGAGTCTTTACAGTACATAATGAGCAATCCTCGGGAAAATAAGGAGATAGCAAGAGAGATCAGCGTGTGTGTATGAGACTTCCGTACAGAGGATGTTTACTAAGGCAATTTAATTTTCCACTGAAGTGGAGAGGACAGAGGTATCTGTTCTTTTCTATGACTCCTGAGACTCTGGCCTGGGGGTTTTGGTTGTGTTGTCTTGCCCATGGCTCAGTGGTCTTCACAAGGGATGTACTTCTTCAAAAAAGATGAAGGAATGCAGTCAAGCTGCCAGACCTCAAACACTTTGTGTATCTCTGGAGACATTGGGGGAAGAGACTTGGACCTAATTAGCTGAGTGAGACAGGGTCAACAAAATTCAGAGAGGAAACAAGTCCTTTTCTTTTCTCTTACAGTAGCCCACCTGTCTCTTTCGCTCAAACTTATATAAATAAGCAGCTCTCCATAGGTAAAACCCCAAGACAGTGATCCTTCAGGGTACTGCCCAATCATCTTTGAAGAAGACTTTTTTTTTTTTTTTGAGGAAGATTAGCCCTGAGCTAACATCTGCTGCCAATCCTCCTCCTTTTTTTTTTTTTTTTTTTTGCTGAGGAAGACTGGCCCTGAGCTAACATCCATGCCCATCTTCCTCTACTTTATATGTGGGACACCTACCACAGCATGGCTTGCCAAGAGGTGCCTTGTCCGCACCTGGGATCCAAACTACCGAACCCCGAGCCGCTGAAGCAGAACATGCGAACTTAACTGCTGCACCACTGGGCCAGCCCCTGAAGAAGACATTTTTGATACTGACTATTACTTAAGATATATGGACTTTCAGTGGGGCTTAAAGAGAGAATTGTGTCCTAGAGGTTTCCATTCTGCTTCTTATCTAGAAACGATCCTTTTTGAATAGCCACTTCCTAATAAGATTTCAAGTCTGGGAACTTCTGGAGAATATGGGACCCATCTTCAATATCTCATATTCCCCATAGCACCTAGCATAGTGCTAAGCCCACCAAGTAGCTATATGATACTCGGGGATAACAAACAAATCATTCAGGGAGCAGGTAAATAGCACAAATGTGTGAAATAGCTGGGTGTCAGACAATAGGGAGTGGTGCAGACTGTGATGAAAGAGAGAAGATATGTTCTGCCTGAATGCACTCAGATTCAAATTCTGTTAAAACTCTGTGCAGACCAAAAGAAAGAAATCGGCAGTCTGTATGTCACCAAAGGGCCACTTGTGGTGACCCTGTCAATGCAGAATTAGTTGAATTGGATTTTTGGTTGTGATCACTCTTACTTCACTTCTTCTCTTGTAACTTTGTAGTCCTCTAGAAATCAAAGAGGAGTATTTCAATCTCGGCCAGTCTCTCACTTTAAAGGCTCTTTATTTCAATTCTGTGAAACTCCATCTCCTTGGTTCAGGCACATTTCCTTGCTCTCACTTTCCTTTGGCCTTTTCTGTTAAAATCTTTCCCTTGACTTTTCCTTATGCAGGAAGTGACAATGCTAAGCTGTCACTGATGAACAAGTATAAAGATAACATCATTGCCACCAGCCCTGTGGACTCCAACCACCAGCAGGCCACTCTGCTCTCTCACACCTCCAGCAGCCAGAGAAAGCGGATCAACAACAAAGCAAGAGGTACCCGTGTCTGCTGTCAGGGCTTCCAGGTGGATTCCTCAATATCGGTAGAGGCGGGGCCGTTAATGTCCTCAGCCGCTCTCAGGCAGGTTAGAGGGATGTGTCCTGGCGCAGTCTTTCTGGAGGCCTGTTGAGTTCTACTTACCAAAAAATTTAAATATGCAAACCTTTTGACCAAGTAATTTCAACAACAAGAATTTATTCTCAGGAAATAATGGAACAAGTGCACAAAGATGTGTGTAAAAAGCTGTTCATCACAACATCGCTTAAGAGAGCGAAAATTGTAAATAGCTTCAATGTCCATCAATGGGGAATTGGTTAACTATGCGCACATCTGTCTACTGTCCAGTGCCTTAGCATGCAGCCATTTAAGATGATGAGATAGATCTATATTTGTTAACATGGAAAGTTGCCCACCCATCTATTAAATGGAAAAAAAATGAGATTATAAAATAGAAGATACAGCAGAATGCCATTTTTGAGGGGAGATTAAAAAGGCTTTATGTGTTTCTGAATCAGAAAATGATGGCGGGTATATACATAAAATGTTAACATTTTTTTCTCGGATTTAGGGGACATCAGAGTTGTTCCCTTTACACAATTTTGTGTATTTTCTTTATTCTTTTTTGCCTTTTTCACATTAAATATATGTTACTTCTAGAACCAGAAAAAAAAATATCCTAGGTCCCTTTAGAAATAATTGCAGTATCGTGTCAACCAGAATCATGACCTGTAATGAGAGAAATTTCCCTCTTTTCCTTTTCCACCCACCATCCGTGAAGGTCCTCTCTGGCAGGTAGCTGCCAGGAATGGCCCTCCTTGATAGGAGCGTGGGCCGGTGGCTGTAGGACCCTAGTGACTGCTATTATGTAAAGGACTGCTTCTCCAATAAATCTTTATATCAGGAAACTTCAGGCCCCAAGGCTACTCCTCCCGGAATGTCAGTCAACCCACCCTCATTTTTATCGATTTTTCTCTTGAACTTGCCCAATGACTTGGTGTCATGAAGACAAACCTGAATATCTTGTCTTTGCCGTGCTTCTTTTCATTACAGCTGGTTCCGCCTTCCTAAACCCTGAAGGGGACTCTGGCACAGAGGCAGAAAACGACCCCCAGCTGACCTTTTACACCGACCCCTCTCGGAGCCGGAGGCGCAGTAGAGGTAGGGAGGATGAAGGGGCAAAGCGGAGTGGAAGGGGCTCTGAGGAGGGAAGGCGGGGAGCTGCCGAGGTGCCGGGTCAGGCTGGGGCTCTGTGGACCAAAGCCAGTTTCTGCAGGAAGAATTCTTGGACCACAGTTGGCGTTTCCTCCTAAGGAAGAAAGAAGAGCCTAGAGTGGGAGCTTTCAGAGAATCATCTCTCCCAGATAATGGCACTCTCAAACAAGTTTCCAAGTTGTTTGAAAGGCTATTTCTTGGTCAGAAGACTCTCCATTCCTTCTGGAAGCCTCAGGAGTCATATTTTGCTGTTTAGACATAGGAAATAAAGTTGATAAAGTGTTTTATGTGGAAAAATGGACAGTCTAGGTACCTGTGCTCACCTAGCCACGCCGGCCTTGGGATTGGGCGAGGCAGGCGTTGGGGGCAGGGTGGTTGAGGAATGATCTATGGCCTGGAAAACGTATATAATGCTCTTTGGCCTTTCAGCCCCTGCCCAGTAGGCTCGCGGGACCCCGAGCCTACGAGTCCCCTCCTTTCTCCTGGCAGGGTCCAGGTTAGTTACTTCATCCTCCTCAACATTGAAAAGGGTTGTCCTTTCATGCAGCCACCGTCTGTGCCACGCCACCCTGATGTTTAGCGGCTTCATGTGTAGCTATTGCAGCTGTGGCTGCCACTACCTATGACTTTGCTGGTGTCACCATCATCACTGAGGGAGGTCTGGCGCAAGCACCAATCGGCTTCCATTTACCTGCTCTGTAATGTTGGATAAGGACAACAAATTCTCTGTGCCTCAGTTTCCTCACATATTAAATGGGTTAATAATACCTCACCCATAGGTCTACTGTCAGAATTAAATTCTATTAAAATGTGCTTTGTTGGTGCCTGGCAAAGCACTGTGAAATTCTTATTGTTGCTGTTGGAACTCTCCCCAGTGCAGCCTGCGATTTCTACAGCACTCCATCTTTAAGAATTTTAGACAGGGGCTCCTGGAGATACAAAGGAGGATATTTGAGTGACATCACCTTGTGCTATACTCAACAGCATTTTCTCCAACCAATAACCGACCAGTGCCCCCCAAAAGACACCTACATTTTGAGCGTCTCCTCCCTCCACTTGAGTTCCTTTCATATGGAGGGCATTCTTCCCAGGGATTAGAAGAACCCCTTTCATTTCCTCAATTCCAGTTTCTGTAGGCTTTGCTGCTTTCACTACAAAAGTTGTTCCCAGCATTTTTTCTTAAGAGATCACTGGGGCTCTGGGCAGCCTAATATCTGATGCCCCAGTTTCCCTGAGGTGAGAATGTGGATCCCCTGATCCTCATTACATATTTATAGACAGCAAATAGTCAACCTAGGCTAAACCAAAGCAGGGTGTGTTCTGCTTTAATAAAATCCTGTTTAAGAAAATCCATAGTAATGAGTCAGAATGAGTTTCTTTGCAGCGTAACACTGTTCCTTTTAAATACTAAGCGCTCCGAGTCCCTCAACTCTTTGCTGCTATTAACTAGATTGTAAGCTTTTTAGGGATGGGCATGTCTAATTTATTTTTCCAAAGTGCCTAGTGAAGGATTTTGCCTATAATAGAAACTTGTAAGGGTTTGTTGAATTGAACTGGATACATCAATCAGGCCAGCCAGAAATTCTATAACCCACCTGCCATGGGTCAGGCTTTGTGATAGGTGGTAGAAACATGAAAACAGGACACAAGGAAAGGCTTAATTTAATCATATAAATAAAGTGAAATGAATGCTCAGAAGAGAGAACAGTTAATTCTACCTGGCAGCAACAGGAGGCAAAAAAGGAGAAAATAATTAGACCTCGGTTATATACAATGTACAGGATTTCTTGAAAGAAGAAAATTAGGGTAAGGGCATTCCGGTAGAGGAAAATAGCATATAAAAAGCCTTGAAAGCACAAAAGAACATGGTATTTTCAACAAGTAAAAGCAGTTCAACATGGCAGCTGTAATCCAGGATATAAACATAGAAACACACGGGGGTAGTTGGGATGGGGATGGATGAGAGGCTGGCTGCCAAAGGACCCCTTATACGCCATGTGACTGAGTTTGCACTTGGTTCCATAGGTAATGGGAAACCACTGGAGATTTTGAAGACAGGTAGAGATGCTGGATGATGGGTTGATAATGCAGAAGGACCAGAGAGACAAGAAAATCAGTAGCAAGTTAGTGCATTCCCATGAGAGCAGTGGCGAGTGCCTGTAAACAGTGACAGTGCTGGGTGATAAGGGCTACAGCAGCAGGGTGCACCTGGGGGCTGGAGGAACAGCCAGGAATAAGGGAGAATCTATTCTTGAAGGTTTCAAGGAAGTGTTTACAGGGAGATGTTGTTTGAGCTGTGACTTGAAGAGTAGGTGTATACCAGGCTGACAAGGTGACAAAATGGCATTCTGTGGAGGAGGAAATAGTATGTGCAAAGTCACAGAGACGTAAATGATAATGGTCTAGTCAGACAGCAGTAAATAGTTTACTAGAATAAAGCTTATGGTGCAAGCTGATAGCTTGCTTAGGAAACACAGCTGGAGGATCAGGAGAAAGTGCACGGCCTTGACTGAAGGACTTGGCCGTGAGACTTCAGTTGGAGTCATTGAAGGCTTTTACAGAGCATTGCCTTTGTCCACTCTGCTTCATGGAGGATCCAGCTAGGGCACTGTGGAGGAGAGGTGAGAGTAGGGGAAGGTTGAGGCAGGGAGTCTGGGTGGATGGCTATTGCCATAGTCCAGGTGTGAGATGATAAACGTAGGTACGAATGGAGAGAATAGAGGCAAGAGAACTTTTGGATGCAAAATGAGGAAAGATTTCAGGCCTGCCCAGTGGCATAGCAGTTAAGTTCATATGCTCCACTTTGGCGGCCTGGGGTTCATGGGTTTGGATTCTGGGCTCAGACACACATCGCTCATCAAGCCATGATGTGGCAGCATCCTACATACAAAATAGAGGAAGACTGGCACAGATGTTACCTTAGGGGCAATCTTCCTCACCAAAAAAAAGAAACAGAAAGAAAAAAGATTTGATGGCGTTGGTGATGAAGAGGGCGTGGCTTATGAAAGAGAGGGAAGAGTTAGACGTGATAGAGTTTTCAGACTTGAGAAACCCAGTAGATGATGGTGCCATTTGCTGGGCAATGGGAATAGGAGTGGGAGGAGAGTTTGAAGGAAGGTGGAGAGAGTTCAGTTTTGGACATTGCATTTGAGAGCCTGAAGGACATTCTGGTGGGCCATCTGCTGCTCAGGCCTGGTCCGGGCTGGAGGTAGAAATTTGTAAGTGTGGGGAAATAGATCCTGTGTTGAAAGGATGCTATCATGAATAGAATATCTCCAGGTAGCAAGGGACAGAGGATCTAGAGGCTGCTGGCCACCCTGGAGAATCTCCCTCTCAGCTACTGCCAGCACACTCTCTCAGGGCATCTGCTCCCATGAAGCACGGGTGCCGCCATGGACCAAAACCTTCTCTGCATTCCTGAGAACAGCGGCTCCAGAGACTCCGCTGGGCCCAAAGATTGATTAGTGCATTGTCTGGGGGCTGTAGTCTCAGTTGGACCTGTGCTTTGATCCCCTCTCCACTCCTTAGTAGCTGCTTGACCCTGGGCAGCCCTATAGCCTCTCTAACTCACTGCTCCTCTGTGGGAGCTGCCTTATCAGATTGTGGTCATTGTTCAATGCCGTGAGCCATGTAGAACCCTGGGCGCTGGTGCCTGGCACATACTCACACTTCATAAGTGTCAACGATCACTGTGATGTTTATCTCTTTGAGACTTACTTTCCTTACCTGTGAAGTGGGCAACTTGCCTTGCTTTCTTACTTTCCTGCATCTGTTCTGCCTCTATGTGAAGAGTCCTTCTTGTTACTACCGTTTTATCCTTTCTACCAAAACCAAAACCAAAACCAACCAAACAAAAAACACACCCAAAAACCCTCCCTTCCTGTCCCTGTGCCCTCCTACCCGGGAGTGTTTTTTGTTCCCAGCATTATTATTTTCTTGCTAAGCTTCCATTTATAACCTTACCCCAGTGGCTGCAGGACTGGGGAGAGCCTTCTGGTGCGACAATGCCCTCTACTCATGCAGAGCAGACTTTCCTCCTTTTCCTCCTTCCAGGCCCCACAAAATAAGAGTCACTTGTAGGACTCCCCACCACAGAAGTTCCTCCAGAGGGTTGGTTTGAGCCCTGGGAGTGGAGGAGCTGTTTATTAGAGCGCCCTCTACAGAAAGCGATGGGAAGTGCAGGGAGTTGCAGCGTGGGGTGAAAGGGTTCCTGCCACCCTTGGGCAAGAGGCTGGAGCCCCGCCAGGCGAGTAGAGGGCAGAATGCCCTCTTTCATGAATTCTCTTGTGAATCTGGCCCAGGAGGAGTGCAGAGGAAGTGCACACAGCTGACCCTTGTTGACCCTAAGGGCCACCAATAGGCCAAGTCTCCTCTGACTCCAACTGATGACATGTGTTCCATGAGGCTGAATAGAGACATTTCTCAGTGGGCTAAGTTTGCCAGCTGCCTCCCCTGTTTGTCGGGCCAGGCAACAAAAGGCCAAGTTGGCCTTTCACGGCCAAGAGTTTCACCACCCGGTGTCTTGCTTTTGTCTTGCTTTCAGTGGGCTCTCCCCGAAGTCCTGTGAACAAGACCACCTTGACCTTGATCAGCATCACCAGCTGTGTGATTGGCCTCGTGTGCTCCTCCCACGTCAGCTGCCCTCTTGTTGTCAAGATCACCCTGCACGTCCCTGAGCACCTGATTGCCGATGGTGAGCCCACTTCTGAGGATGCAACCTCCTCCCTAAAGAGGAAGGGTTCAGATTGGGCAAGGAAGATACAGAGAAGCCAGGGGTCACTGTTGCCTATTACTATAAGTGAGGAAAGAAGTATACCCAGAGAGTAAGGCTTAGGACAAAATTGGATCGTCCACAGATGAAATCAGAAAGCAGGTTTAAAAAAAGCAGAAAGGAACTGAACAGATCTCCTCCCTTCTCTGCGCCCACTCCCATTTCCCATTTCTGTTTGTTTTTATATAAGCCTTGTCTTTGTAGAGAAATGCAGAGCATGCTGGCTACAGGTAGGTCAATACCAAGATTCTCGCAGCCTTTGAGAGGGGAGAAGCTCAGTGGAGAAGTAGAGGCGTTTAAGGATGAGCCACACTTCGGTTTGGCATGCCCGAGTGAGACATTCCTAATTGCAATAACTTGCTATAAGCCTAGAACTCTGAAGCAATAATTTACTTTCATCCAGGGGGACCCCAACATAATGAGGGAGTAATATAGGTTCTGAGAGTCCCTGAATTAGTTAAGCCCAGAGCACATAATTGACTTGTTACTGTCTGTTCTCTTGGTTGCTGTAAGGCTGCAAACAGGTGGGGACTGTCCATGGTGTTAGAGGGCCTGCTATTTCGTGGCAAGTGAAGACAGGCAGCAGGTCCCTGTTCCTTGGACGAGTGCCAATGCCTGTGGCTGGATCTGATGGAGCCGTGCCACGGCCATCACAAAGTGGCTCTGTCCCTGTATCCCTTAGGTCCATCCTGGTAGAGATGGGATGGAGCAAGGCAGCAGGGGACGAGATGGTGGGAGGTCTGTGTGGTAGCCAAGCCTTCACCTGCTGATTTCTTGCTTGGGGGCTCATTACGGACCAGGACTTGTGGGAGTAATGACCTCAGATTGGGGCTAACCTGCAGAGTGTCCCTTACTCTGTCTTCAGTGATGTGTGTGTATGTGTTGTACACGGCATGCCTCCTCTCCCCCTGCAGGGAGCCGCTTCATCTTGCTGGAGGGGAGCCAGCTGGATGCCAGTGACTGGCTGAACCCTGCTCAAGTGGTGCTGTTCTCTCAGCAGAACTCCAGTGGGCCCTGGGCCATGGACCTCTGTGCCCGGCGGCTCCTGGACCCCTGTGAACACCAATGCGACCCCGAAACTGGTAGGCGGGAGCACCGGGAAGAGGGTAACTGTCAGAGTTCATGCCTCTTGCAATCACCCCCTTGAAACCCAGGCCATCCCTCCTGATTGTCCCACTGACATTGGGAGCCTAGACTGCGCAAGCTGCCAGCATGTTGTTGGGCCCCTGAGCATGTTGGCTTAAGATGTGGGGTCATCTTCTAGCATGGAAGCTTCTAGCATCTTCAAACCTTGGAAGTATCCTAATTGTAGCCCCACGCCACACAGATCAGTTGGGGGTGACCTCCACAGCCCACTTGCCACCCAGTTAGGGGATATCAGCTACTGGGGCTAGACTTTTCATGCTTGCTTATTGTAGAAAATTTGGAAAATTTAAAAAAGCTTATAGAAGAAAATGATAATCATCTATAATTCTATCTCCTGGAGAAATCATTTTAAAATTTTAATGTCCTCCCTTCCAATCTTTTATCTATGCATGGTTCTTAGAGGCTTACAAGCTCGCTAAGTCCAGTAGAGTTTTCTTGATTTTTTTCATTTAACATTCTATCGTGAGAGTTTTCCAGAACCATTAAATAACCCTCAATAACATAATTTTAACGGTCATTTTGTATTCTATTGTATGTCTATATCATAGCTCATTTAAATAGTTCCCTATTATTTGACATTTAGGATGCTTTAAATTTTTAATTTTTACAAATACTACTAAAATGAATATCTTTCCACATAAACGCAGGGCACATTTGAAGCTATCTTCTCCAGATAAATCTTAGAAGAGAGATTACTGGGCCAAAGGGCGTAGACATCTTTCCGGCTGTTATATTTTCAAATGGGGCTGGGGCTTCTCTGAGGGTGGGCCCTGATTCAGACACAGCATGCACTGGGACCCTCACGGTGCTTCTTGAGCTCCAAGATATCCAGGAGTATGGATCCCTCACTCCAGGTTGCTTTGCACTTTCATTGTAGAAGGGATTGCGTCTACGGTAGTCTTTATAGAGACCTGCACCCAGTAGATTCAGTACCACAGACAGAGCCTTCCCAGCGAAGAGGTACCTGAAACACGGGCAGGGGATGTAGTGACATCTAAGACCCCCACGTGCAATGTTGCTGCAGATGGGGCAAACTCCTCCAGTTCTCTGTACCGCATGTGCAGCCCCTCCTCCACCACACACACACACACATGCACACACACACACACGCATGCGCACACACACATATACACACACATGCACACACACACATATATATACACACACACACGCACGCACATGCACACACACGTACCCCTACAGATGCATCTTCTTCAGGTGGTTGGGTGGAGGGATATTAGTGGAGGTCAAGTCCAAGAGATCCAGCCCTTACTTCTGTTATAATCTGTGACTGTATTTCTTTGAGGGAGTTCCAGGTAATCGCACCATCTAAAGATCACCTTCTTAGGTCTAAAAGTTGTTTTTACGTGGGCCCGTCACAGAGATTCTAGGCCCCCATATGGAGGAGAAAGTACAACATTTCAAACATCTGATGTCTAAGACTGTGCTTACTTGCTGCTCCTCCCACACTGTCAGGCAAACACCAAACCAAACAGATGGGCTGTGCACCAGGCCCAAAAGCCAGTGTGCTCGGGAGAAAGGAAAAAGGGCTCATCTCAGAGGTGGGGCCTCTCCTTGCAACTGAGCTTGTCTCTGGTCCCCCTGCTGACTTGAGTTAGGAGATTCTGGGATACTCTTAGCTATTAATCTCACTTCTGAGAGAAGCATGATCTTCAGAGGGCCTTGGAAGCTTCCACTGAGGTTTTAAAGAACAGAAAGCACTTTTTGTTACATGTGGAAAGAAGGGATTGGGGTCTTAGACTTGGATGGGTTTTAGAGATAAGCTGCCTCCTTACTTTAGACCAATGCTCGAGTTCCCTGAGAAGTTGCATGACTTGCCCAAAGTCCCACAGCTACCTATGGCAGAGTTGTGTTCTATCCATCGTAAACCAGAGCAGAGGTGGGATTATAAAAGGTTTCTTAATTTCTCCAGACATGTCAGAACCAACATATTTGTTGTTCAAAACTCAGCAACCACCATTACTGAGCATCGCGCCTCCCAGCCAGGAGCGGAGGAAGCTGCTTGTCCACAGCAGAGCTCCCATCTCCTCTTCAGTCCCTCCCAGATGTCTCATTTCCTATCTTGGCTGAAAATGACGTTGGGAAGCCCAGCCCCTTGTTAGTGGCTTCCCAGTGACTGTGATGATTAATGAAGTTCCAACTGGAAAGCCATGGAGGGAGAATACAAATAAGGACCCAAAGCCCACAACAGAACCAAGGTGCAACATCTTCATTTGGGGTAGCAGCTGAGAAATGATGTTGTAGAGATTTTTATTTTCATTAATGCTGGAATTGGAAACCCTCCCCCTTCCCGCCCTCCTTCTTTCCACACATGGGATGATGTGGTCATCCCACACGCTCATCAGTAAGAAACTTTATCGCCTCCCACACTCCATCCTAGAGCCTTTCTCCAAAGAGCTGAGTGTGGGAATTGGCTGCAAGTCAAGTCGACATTATTTTTGCAATCCTCCAGCTAACTCGCTTGGAAATGTCATAGTGTTGGGACATGTGCTTTCCCAGCCTTGCTGAGGGGTCTGCTCATATGGATATGTGGAACTGTGCAAGTGCACGTGTATACTTTTTCACACACACACAAACACACAAATATAGACGCTCAGTCACTGCAAAGGAGCAACCTCTGAGGCCTAGAGCTTTTCACAGGCATCCTTCCATAGCGTTCCATAGTTAAGCATGTGTTTACTCGTCACCTGCACAGCGTCCGGAATACCAAGTGTGGGCAGAATAATGGGTCCCCAAAGATGTTCATGTCCTAATCCCCACAACCTGTAAATGTGGTACGTTGCATAGCACAGATGAATTAAAGTTGCAGGTGGAATTAAGGTTGCTAAACAGCTGCCTTTAAAATAAGGAGAGTAGCCTAGATTATCCAGGTGGGCCCAATGTAATTGCAAGTGTCCTTAAAAGTGGAAGAGGGAGGAAACTAGAGTGCTGTTATATGAGGAGGACTCAACCAGCCATTACTGGCTTTGACAATGGAGGAAGGAGGAATGAGCCAAGCAACGTGGGCGACCTCTAGAAGCTGGACAAGGCAAGGAGATGGAGTCTCCCCTCAAGCTTCCAGAAAGGAACATGGCCCTATAGACGCCTTGATTTTAGCCCAGTGAGACTCCTGTCAGACTTCTGACCTACAGAACTGTAAGATCATAAATTTATGTTGTTAAAACCACTAAGTTTGTGGTAATTTTTATGGCAGCTATAGAAAAGTAACACACCAGGGGAGGAGAAAAAGGACAGTGAAAGAACAAGCAGTGTTATGTGCCTCTTTATATAAATTTATATAGGATTCATAAAGGGTGGCTACACAGACCTCCTGCAGATGTGTCAGGGATCTATGGACGAACTGGAGCTGGAGGAAACACTGATTTCTTTTCCATTCCAGCCTTCCTTTTACATTCTAGCAACATGCTACTCAGGAGGGCTGTAAGGTACCTAAAGCTCCTAGCCCAATGCCCGGAGGCCCTTTGCCAACTTCACAGTGACACTGTCCCCAGATCCTCCCAGGTTTGTAACCTTAGGTGTATCTCCGGTCAAGTTGGGCTAAAAGCAAACCACTAAGCTTGTATGGGTTAATACTCTGGCAGGATCCAGCCAGAGGTTGACTTTTCCTATCCTTTCTAAAGGTGTTTGTTGTGGTTGTGTGTTTGTTTGATTGTTTGTTTTTTAATGGACAAAAACATGGTTTTTGTGACTTCTCTCTTTACCCCATTCCTGGCCTTTGTTCTGCCACATGGACAGCTGAGGAGGCTTTACGCAGCTGCTTAATTTCACAGCCCCTATTAGTCCTGGCCACAGACCCTCACTGCCCTTTTCAAGATATGTAGCTGTTATGGGTCTGCAAGGAGCATGGGCTTCCAAGCTAAATCAAGTTTTAGTCACCATTCAAGATGTTCCCTGAAATTCCTTCTGTCCCAGATCTTTCCGTACATTAGTCCCAACCATGTAGAAATGTGTAAAACCTGGGGAGGGGCAGTGGAGCAGATTTTCAGACTTGATCTAGCCCTCTTCCCCTGCCCTTCTCTGAACCACTGCCTCCCTCTCTCTAGCCTTCCTTGTTTTCTTGAACCCAATTAGCAGGGCAGCACAGATCCCATTTTGTTCTAGCCACCTGGATTGCCCACTCACTCCAAACTCCCTTTTGTGGCTTATTAAAGCCCCTTCCTTCTGGATGTCCTTTTGGCATATTTCCATCTGTCTGCCCTCCCGGAGCCATGTGTGGCTGTTTGACTCTGGGCCTGCCTCTTGCCTTATGTTTCCACAGGGGAGGAGACCAGGCATTCGGATATTGGCCAAGTCCAGATGTCTTACAAAGATTTCACTTTTTAGATGAAGCACACCCAATTCCGTTTAATAAAAGCCACAACTACCTGAATGATAGAGATGACTCAGGGCTTTTGGTCTTGATCTGTAGTTACCTCATGAAGAACTTGTGGTGAGCCCAGTCATGTCTGAGGAGCCTTGGCTTCAAGGTCTTTCTTTAACCCTTTGATGAGATTTGTGCCTCAGTCCTTCATCTGAAGGATGGGAAATGACCCAAGGCACTGTCCATCATACAAGGTACCTCAAGGCATCTGCCCTCAGGGTACCAAGCACAAATCAAAGTATAGGCATCTCCAGGCGCTGCATAGATCTCCTCTCGGTGGGCTTCTACTCTGTAGCAGTGTGGTTGCCTGGGAGTGCCTCCTGCAGGGCACACTGCATCCCAGTTGGGCGCTTCACCGTGGCCATGACACGTCTCTCCATTGGATTCCTATGAACACTGCCACAGAGTCGGCACGTCATGTGTTCCCCACCATCTGTCACAGCAGATGCAGAGACTGTAACACTTCTAGCTTAGGAGGGCATCCAACACCCTTGTGGGGTCTTTAAAATTCACAGCTAACAGTCGGAGCTTGTGCTTGCACGAAACCCCTCTTAAAGTCAAGATTTAGCAGTTGGTTGCCATGGCAACTTTCCTCATCAAGTCTGAACTCTCAGTGTAGATGGCCAGACTGGTTTTGAGGAGAAATACAGAAGAGGGAACTTTGGTGGTTTCCGGAAATGAGGATTATTTGAGAGGCAAATTTTGGATATCCTTAAACTCTAGCCTGATGTGTTTGAAAATTTCTCTGTTGCTCTGACTTTGGGCTGCGTATGACATTATATGGAGAAAAGCTTTATCTGTCATCAGCAGTGTGTCCCCACATAGTAATGAATGATGGAAACCTCATAAGGAGATAATGACTATGAAGGCAATTTGAGAAAGGTAAATGTGCTCCACAAATGGTAGGTAACGCCGTCATTAGGAAAATCAGGCTCTGCTTGAACTCTGAGTTGCTACTGCATTTATTTTTACATGTTTTGTGGTAACTAGATATTAAATGTGGAAGAAGGACTCTCTTTTTTGTCAATCCGTAATTCTAGGCAAGGCAGCCAGCCAAGACCATTCCAAGAGTCAGAGTGATGGGTTTGACAACCTCTCAAGGTTACTTCCTGTTTTTTAATATCATACCCATGCCTTATGTCCACAAGGACAGTTGGGAGAGGATCTCCTTAAGGGAGAAGCATGTCTGGCCTCTGACCCATTGATTGGCTTAGATATCTGCATCTTGAGGGGAGGTGGTGGTGGTACTTGCCTTCTTTATCGTTAACTTCTATCAGAGAAGCAGCCTTCATCTGAAAGACTTATCATCCACAACCTAATTTCAATCCTTGTTCTCCAATGTTCAACTCATAGCTCCCTGACTATTCCTAGACACAGCTCAGCACCACTGAAGCCAGTAAATTTGAGCCTATTGCGAATTTAACCCATATGGAAGCCTGGATTTGCCATATGAGAGACCAAGTTCTGATCTAATCCTCTCTGTGGATCCCCACAAAGAAGCTACTCATTTTCACTCCGCTCCTCAGCACCTTGAGCTGAGCAGGTGTTGGGGAAGAAGATGAGTGTTATCTGGGAGTGAGGCCCTGATGGGCAGTAGCTTATAGGTCAATCCTGAAAGGAATGGTTGAATTTGGATCTTAACAAAAAAACTCCTTTCTCAGAGCCTACCCAATTCCTTCCCTCATAACTGTGAGGCCCCTTCACTTCATTTTTATTGGTTTTTATATTTGAAAGAGAAAACAGTACTCAAAGGTATTATTCTATCTATATCCTTTTTAAGTGGCTCTTCCTAAGGAGACAAAGAAACTGTCTGCCCCTTGTCTCCTTAGTGCAGGGCACCTTTGTTATTTACAAATTCCCGGAAGTCACACCCTGTGCTTTCTCTGCCTGCAAATTAAATTACCAGCCGGTGAAATAGTTAACACTAGTGCTTCAGTGAACTGCCTCAGAGTGTAGGGCTGCAGAGCATTGCCTAAGGAATTATTCACATAAGGAAGCAGCAGCAATTTTCTTCAACATCAGTACTAAATAGAGCAATGATTCTTAATCTTTTGGGGGTCTCGGATTTGCTTGTGAATCAGATGGATGTTATGGCACCCTGCCACAGAAAGATGCGCATACGCACATACGTGTACAGTTTTGCAGACAATTCCGGGGGGCTGTGGACCTCTTGTTCTACTAATGGAGTAACGAATGATCATGAAGCATAGTAATGTGCTAAACAAATAGAGAATTATAGATGATCTTTCTGTTCACCAGCTCCAAGATAATTAGCCATTTTCACTTAACAATGAAAACCCAGAGTTCCTATAAAACCGTAATAGGTATAAGTGGCTTCCTCTAATTACAGTAGTTATTCGGTGGGCTAGCAGCATGCCATGGTGGAGGAAAAAGGTCTGAAGTCAGACAGACATAGGTTCAGATATTAACTCTGTCCTTTACAAGCTGTCTCCAGATCCCTTAATTTTTCCGAGCCTCAGTTTCCCCCATCAGCATAGCATAGCTATTGATACCTACTTTTCAACTTTCTTGGAAATATTTGATGAAGTAACTCACTTATGTGGTCTTTCAACATGTATTGATCAACTAATAGGTGTAAACTGGGCGCTGAGAAAATAAAGATTCAGAAGTTTTTTGCTCAAAGAGTTCTTGGTCTTTGTGTTTACAGAGCACATGTAACAGGTGCTTTGTGAATGTTGGACCCTCCATGAGTGGAAATTATCATGTAGTGGAAAATGGAGAGATTGGTGGTGTGCTCATTCACGTGGGTGGTGGAGATGGCGTGTGACATAATGGGATTTATTGTCTCATCCGTGCCTCTGTTAGAGTCAGAGTTTAATCTGATCATTTCATATTAATGTTCTCAAACACAGACAAGTTAATCAATTCCCTCATGTTTCTTTTTCTTCCTCCTTGCCCTGCTTCTAAGGGGAATGCCTCTGCTACGAAGGTTACATGAAGGATCCAGTGCACAAGCACCTTTGCATTCGGAATGAATGGGGGACAAACCAGGGGTAAGTGAGGGGATGGCAAGTTAGCCAGTTCTCAGATGTCACTGCTCCGTCACGCAGACATGACGTGGAGCAACTGCGTGCAGAGGAGCAGAGCTAAAGGGTGGTTATATTCTGAACAGCAAATGGGTAAAACTGTCACTGTGCATTTCCATATTTATACCATTCCAGTGACGTCCATATCATCTTTTTCTCCATTTACGAGTTCAGAGATGATGCCTCTGACTCGCAGCCCTGCAGCCTCCAGCTGGGATCTGAGAATCAAGCTGTCCCTCTCTTCCTTTTCACATCACCACCAGCCACGAGGATTCCACAGGCAGAACTTAGCTGATGATTTTCTTGGAGACACACGAAGCCACACAGACTCCAGTGTAGCTCTCCCAGAGCTTGATGAGCTTTGCAAGACTGACATGAGCAGAAACTTGTTTTCCCCAGGACTGTCAGCAGGGGTGAAGGGCAAAGTCTCAGGGAGAGCTCCGTGTGGAGTAAGAGTAATTTTGCCTGATCCCCAATTACCCTCTCTCTGTGAGACCTTGCTTTCCCCCAAGCACACATGACTGGGATAAAAAGTTACCTTGTCTATTGCTTTTTTATTTTAGCTTTTTTTTTACATTTTTTTGAATTTATTATTATGGTAAAATATACATCACATAAAATTTACCATTTTTAAGTGTACCATTCAGTGGCATTAAGTACATTCACGTTGTTGTGCAACCATTACCACTGTCCATCTTCTACTGCTTTTTAAAAGCAACTTTCTGCTTTATTTTGGGTGCTGAGAGCTTGCTTTTGGCATTGGCTGGGTCATGGAGGAGGCTGAGAGGAGAAAGGGATCAATAAACGCTAACTAATAATAGCAATCGATGGAACAGGGAAAACTAGAAAGAAATCAAGGCAAATGCCATCTCGGAGTGATGGCTTGGACTGCAGATTAGAAATGTGTTTGCGGCCTGACAAGGTGGAAGAAAGAAACCACTGTCATTTCACACCTTGCCAGGGAGCACTCATATCCCCGAGGTCGATGATCAGCCCTCTCTGTGTGATTCTGATGAGACCAAGCCTAGAATATTGAGTGTAGTTCTGGACTTTCAAAGCAATAAATATGGAGACAAATGGGTGAGAGTTTGGAGAAGAGCAATAAAAATGATTGAAGAGCCCAAGGGAGTGATTTATGATGTAGGGATAGAAGAACGCAACTCGGAGGACTTGGCCAGCTGATGACTAAGTCAAGGCATGATGGATGCCTGTAGACGTTGGAGGAGGGCAAATGTTCTGGAACGGGTTGAGGCTGAGGGATAAGGACAAGAGAGAATGAAGTTAGAGAAGGGAAATCTGAGTCACAGGTCAGAAAACTTGGGGAAGTCAAAACGCCATGAAATTTTTCTCTTGGTGAAAATGAAGGATTGCTCCATTTCTGCTGAATTTGAGATCATGTTGGAGAGGCAGTCCACAAAATTTAGAGGGAGATGTTTGTAGAAGGATAAATAACATGTGAGGTGGCCTGTGGTTGGAAGATTGGTGAGGAGGGCAGAAGACGTGGCTAATAGATGTCAAGCGGGGTATGAATAAAGAGTGCCATTCACTGTTGAAAGTCCCTTAGATTCCCTACTCTCAGACCCCTGAAATGTTTGCATCATTGCTGGGGGTCCAAGATTGCAGCTTATATGATGGCTGAGAGTCTCAGGTGACTCTGGTTCTCATTGAGTAAAATATTGTAAAGGGTAACGCATAATCAGCTTTCTAGCTCTTAGCCTGCAAACTTGCTGCCGAAGAAAACAATGACAAAATGTCGTTTCACTTTTTGCCCTGAATGATCCAGACTGGCTCTCTGCAGTGATTGCATTTGGTGGCTAATCGCTCAAGCCTCCACATCCCTTGCCTTGTAGACAGATCACGCGAGGATGGGCCTGACTTCACTAGGTAATTGCACAAGCCTTCGTCATTCCCTCTGGCTGTGTGTAGAGACAGTCTTAGGATGTAGACAGAAGCCTCCAGGGACATGATGGAGGCCCCACGTTGGTGTCATTTAAAATAAGACAGGCGAAAGCACTGAGTTACAGACTGACAGGAACATTAGCCCCAGGAAACAGACAAGGAGACCTAATCTGTCATTTCCATCTCTAATTTCCATTATTCTCTGATCATCACTGTCTATGAGGTCTCATTCTGGACACTAATAAAATAATGGAGCAACTGTTAGGAGGAAGAAGAAAGTGACTATCTTGAGGATAATGGAACCAGCAGTGATAAGCAGCATGAGTTTATATGTATATACAAAAGTGCCAGACAAATGACTGCATTTTCCTCATAAAGTGACAAGATAAATGAAAACTGGAAGACGCCATACATCTTGATTTAAATCAGAGAACTGATGCCACGTTTCTTTAAATGATTCTTACAAAATTAATCGAAATTGATTTGAACATGAAGACTGTCACTTGAATTGAAAACTCCCTGACAGATTGCCAACTAACGATACATATTGGGGGATTACGGAAAAATCAATGTGAAGCCTGATTTTCCTGAGTATTTTATTTAATTTTCCAGGAAGCGGAGGTAAGCAGCATGTGTGGTGTTTATGTTTTTCACTTTGCATTATTGTATTACATACATTAAAGTAGTTGAACATTCTTTTGAAGTAAAGCAACCAAATCCTAGGCCAGTTAACAGTTAAAATGAATTCCCTTGTGAGAAATCTAGGTTAATGGACCAGGAGAAAAGTAGCAATAAGCATTCATGACTTTCAGACAAGGAAGAAACTTGATAAAGAACACTAATACAAAAAATTACAATGGATGATTCTGTGAGGCAGAGTTACACCTGCAACTTATCCAGCCTCTGCCTCGTGCTCCAGTTTACCTGGACCGTCATTCATGTTTTCAACGAATTTTCACTCCATTACCTATTGTGGCCCAGGATAACCTAGGTTGCTAATTATAAGAAGATGTGGTCTCTGTTTTTCGAAGAACTAATAATCTAGATAGATAGATGGGCACATAAGAAATTTCTGTGAATTCTAAAACCTATTAAAATAAAAGTGTAAGCAAAGGTCTATGGGATTATGGTTTAAGGGGTGATTTATGTGACGTCTAAGAATCTGGACTAGGGCTTCATGGAGAAGTTAGATTTTGAATTATTCTGTCTAACAGGTACCAAAGGTAATTCTAAGCAAAGGGAACAGCATATGCCAAGGCATGGAGAGATAAGAAACATGGTTTTTCCAGGAATGGAAAATAAATACCTCAATGTAGCTTACAAGTACAATTTATAGAGCCAGGAGAAGAGGCTGGTAAGGTGGAGAAAGACTAGGTCTGGAAGAGCTCTTGCTTACGAAAGGCTTCGGACGTTAAAGCTCCACGTATTGGCCCCGAGAATTGTTAGCAGGAGGGAGGAGTTCCAAGGTGACTGTATATTTGGTGGGATATTCCCTCCCTACGTGTGATTTTTCCAGACCCTTCAAAAGAAATTAAAATAATACTAAAAAGAAAATAAAAGATGAAACAAATGCACCCAAAACCTCTTGAGACTGTCTAAATCTTTATTTATCTGAATTCTGCAAGTAAAGTATAGTTCTAAAATTATCCTCTAGATAAAGTTTTCAAGACCAGACAGCAAAGAAGGACAGAGAATTGGTGACCATATGTACAAGATACGTGAATCGAGGGGGTTGCAACCATTTTTTTGGAGACTGGTTCGGCCAAAAACACCCAAGGACAAACAAAGCGGGTTGAGACGTTCGTGTGTGGACCCGAGTGGTGAAGCAGGTCTCTGTAGCTCTCCCAGGTGACAGGATCCAGGTGGCAGGTTGTAAAATCGTTGAACTCATTACACAAGAAGCTCCTGTTCACTAAAAGTAAAAATAACTTCAGAAAGATTTAAATGAAGCCGTGGATGACAGGTTTCTACTGAGTTAGTAAAACTGCATGGGATGTTTGAGATTACATCTTGGTCTTTGTGATTGGCATCAAAGTCCGCCATTCCCTGCCACAGCAATCCCGGTGCTCCCGTGCCCAACAGAGGACCCGGGATGAAGGGTCCTACCCCAGCGTGGGGCTTTACCTCGTCTTCTCTCTAACCTGCCTGAATTCACTAAAGACCTCCTCGGCCTCTCATCCCTGTGGCCACAGCCAGGGACTGTGATATTCATTTGCTAACGCAACAAGGACAAATTGAAAATTTTCAGACAAGAAATGAAAACAATAAATGAGCTTAGAGGAGACAAGAGAGATTGATTTACAGGAAAATATTAGAGGAGAAAAAAACAAATTTATTTAGCTACTTTGGAAATTATTAAGAAAGACTCCAATAATGTTTTTTGTTAAATTAGAAGCATACCCAAGGGCCTCCAGATACTTTTTTCTGAACGCTGCAATTAGATTAAACTCATGCGTTTGAAGATTCCTGGTAAATAATAGTCTGATTTCTCATTCTGGCATCTCAGATACAGAGGGCAACACCAAGGAGATCCCCCTCTAGAGAACTGTGGTGTCCCAGTAGGTTTCAGTGGTGAAGGGTGGTGATGGAGTGATAACTCATGAGACGGGAAGAGACCTGCCATGGAAAATGAACAGGTGTTTCTCCAAGATTTTAGAATCTGTTGTCAGGAGTGGCCCTGCTCATCTTAACACCTCCTTCGTTTTCTGCCCACTTAGGAGGCAACACGCTTACCATGACATCCCCAGATTAGTACACATGCGTGTGCATGGGCGTGCGCACACACGCAGAGCCCACAGTGTCTTAATATGTCCTTGCCATTGTCCCAGGTGCTACTGTTCTCTTCTTCTGTTTCTATAACTCCTCCCTGCTGCTCAGCATCCCGGGAGTGACTGCTTAGGGATTCTAAATCCGTAGAAAGAGCGACGTCCCACGCCGTAGAATCCAGTTTCCTTTTCAAGACAAGAATGAGGACGGTGTCTGTCATGGTTGGCCTCAGCCCCTCTGTCTTGCTCAAAACATGTCCTTGACAGGAGGTAATTTTATTTCGGCCTGGCTGAATGGTGCCA